TGGAGAGCTGTTGTAACTGCAGGTTGACTCTTCCCTTTTTTTTTTCCCCTCCTTTTTATCTTTGAGGTGATGTACTCTTGGCTACAGCTTTTCTGTCCTATTCTGGTTCTTTTAACCAAGAGTTCCGCAGTCTGCTGTTAAATGACTGGCAAAAGGAAATGAAAAACTGAAAAATTCCTTTCTGTAACAACTTGAACCTCATAGAAATGTTGACTGATGCTCCAACTATCAGTGCATGGAACCTGCAAGTATTGCCAAATGACAACTTATCCATACAGAATGGAATAATTGTCACTAAAGCATCTTGTTATCCTTTGTTAATTGATCCACAAACACAGGGTAAAATTTGGATTAAAAATAAGAAAGGCAGAAATGACCTTCAGGTAATAGAAATGCTTGTGCTTTCAAAATCCCTAAAAGCTTATAAGCATTACAATTCAGTGATTCCCCTAATGCTTAGGAAATTATACTTATACAAAAAGCTTGGCTTGAATATAAAGAATATCTCAGATATATTTTATTGGATTTGAGATTTGATTAGATGTGGAAGTGTATCTTTTAACATCAGTGACTCCATTGTTTAATGAATTTATTTTAATGGAACAGAAACTTTGGAAAATAGGCTGGATGGGCATTGTCTGGTAATAAACATGTTTTCAGAATAATGTAAGTGTTAGGAAAAAACACCAACTAGTTGAATTAATACAATTTCATGTAAGGGTTTATAAATGAAGAATCATTTATAAAAGTTATAGCAAGATATTTTTTTCATCTTTTAATCAGAAATTATGTTAATTTTTGTCGTTTTAATATGGATGTCAGCTGCTAAGTGCTCTGCAAATATACAGGGAAGATGTAGTGCTACAATGTACAGTCTGAGGCAAGATACACAAATTCAATTCAAACAAGAAAATAGGAGGAAGAATGTTCTTACTTGCTGCAATTATAATTACATCAATAAACCAGCTTTAAAAAAAACCCCAAAAAACCAAAACCATAAAAAACCCAAAAAAACCAAATCCATAAAAATAGCTTGAGGTGTGATAATAGAGTGGCTCTGTGAATATAACTATCACTTTCATGGTGATTGTTATCTAGGTGTAGAAACCTTTAACGTTGCTTAGTTATTATAAAAATTATTATTAGTTTGTTTACAACTTTATTAACATCTAAACTGACTGTGCTTTTTGAACATGTTGAAAACCTCAATTATACTGGGGACTATTTAAAGAAAAGACTATTTAAGGTTCTGTTCCATGTAAACCTCTCCTTTTCAAGGGTGAAATAAACCACAGAAAAATACTTATCTTGGAATTTACCCTGGTGCACTTTGACATGGAGATGTTAACCAAAATAAAATTGAAGGTGCTAAAAGGTTTCTGTGAATTTTTCCTGTGAAATTCTTGAGTAGTTGTACTCATAGGATATCAAAATTGGAAGTGTGGCTTTGCTTCTATCTTTGCAGCTGAAAAATAGAACTTTGCATTCCATGAGATCTGGCAATAGGATATGCTGATGTTCCCTTTCCTTGAGCTCACAATGTTTGCATTAATACTAGTCTACTCACAGGATCATTGCTTTTGGCAGTACTTTAAAGAAAATGAATTAATATATAAATATGAAACTAAGAAAAAGATTGGCATAAGGTATTGCATCTATGTTTTTAGATCACTTCTTTGAATCACAAATATTTTAGAAACCACTTAGAAGACAGCCTTTCTTTGGGATGACCTCTTTTAGTAGAAGATATTGGAGAAGAGCTGGACCCAGCACTTGATAACATTTTGGAAAGAAACATCATTAAAACAGGTTCAGCCAACAAGGTAAAAATAAAACAAGTGAGCAAACTTCTCCTTAGCAAAATAACTCCTAATAAATATAGGACTATAAAAATTAAACTCATTTAAATTTGATCTGTGTTAATGAAAGAAAAAAAAAGGTAAGGTTTAAGTTCACAAATGGTTAATATATTTACTGCATAGAGTTCCTTATTCCTTTGCTTATGACAATTTTTAGAAGTTGAAATAATGTTTGAATGGGCCATTTAAGGTGGTCCTAGACTGTTCTTAACAATTTTTTTGCATCAGATGTATGATTTAAAACTGGATTTTCATGTCTTTAAGCAGAAAAATGTAACCTTTTTTCCTATATGCAGTATCTGAAAATGTGTGTATTGGCTTTTTATATTTCAAGACTTTTTTTTAACCTTTTACTTAAGGTAAAAATTGGTGATAAGGAAGTGGATGTTATGAATGGCTTCAGACTTTACATTACTACAAAACTGCCAAATCCTTGTTACTCTCCTGAAATTAGTGCTCAAACCTCTATCATTGACTTTACTGTAACCATGAAAGGTCTTGAAAATCAACTCTTAGGCAGAGTCATTCTCACAGAGAAACAGGTAAAATAATTTATTGTATCTCTTTTCCTGTCTGTAGTTCTTATATTTACCTGTAGAATATTTTACTTTAATTTATTACTCTCTATACCAATATTGCAAGGTAACTTTCTGGCTCTCTCTATTGTGATTATTCTTAATATAACCTATTTGTAATGGTTTAAAAAGTGGCACAGAAGCAATTGACTCATTCATGTGGAAGTTTCTCTGTCTCCTTATTGTTGCAACTGTGCTGTATTAACCTTATTTTTCCTGCCTCAATGAGTTATTACCTCATGAGAATGGCCTGTGAAAAGCAAAGGGGCCTGAAATCAAAACTGATGTTCTGTCTACAAGCCCTGGAGCTCATGGCAACATAACCTAATGCAAAGAATTCAGACTTAGTTACTTCCTTGCTCAAGGGAAAATCGGCCACTTACTGACATACCTTTTGACATTGCAGATATATTAGTTGAGGAAATCCAGGTTCAAGATGCCAGTCCCAATTAACATGCCACATGGAGTTCTGGAGGGAGGATGGTTGGTCCCTTTTAAACTATGGAACAGCTAATCCCTGTAGCTATAAGGTCAGACAATGTTCACGCTATAAGAAACACTATGCAGCTATGACTGTGTATTTACTGGTGTATTTACTAAGATTTTGGCAATAGTTTCAGTTTACCTTCACTAGAGAGGAAGGACAGGAATATCTTTGTTTCCTTTTGTGGCATCTGTTGAGGTTCTCCCATCCTTCCAATACCTCCCTCTGCCCCGCCAGTGTAAGATTTTTATTGTTAATAGACTCAGTCATCTTGCTCACGTTGAGTAGTTGCATTTCATTCCCACACAGTGCACGGATCTCGTGAGAAAAATCACACTCAATCTGTTAAGGTCTGTTTTTTATCAGACAGCTTAATTGTACCATCAGCTCCTCTTCAACCACTGATAACTTGTCAACCCAATATGTAAAGAAATTATCACTGTCTATGTAAAACACTCTTTGATGTGTATATTCACAAAGCCTTATGCCAGACTTCACTTCTTGGGCCTTGAAATATAGCACATTCCTCCAGGAGACAGTTTATTAAATTCCTCCAGACATTGCTGTTGCTATGTGCTTGCTTGGAGGACACAGGAAAGGGAGGAGATTGACTTTTCTCAGAGGAACCAAGAAGTAGATGGAGAACTAAAACTCATACTGGAACATGAAGAATTCTGATTAGATATGAGGGAAAATATAATTACATCAAGAGTGGTCATGCCCAGGAGTAGATTAACCAAGGATTTTGTGGGATTTCTGTTTTGAGAAGGGTTCAAGATTCACCTGGACATTGCACTGAGCAACTGAGCTGTTTAGGTTTGAGCAGGGGCTGAACTAGTTAATTTCTGTAGGTGCCTTCCAAATTAAAATTATTCTATTGTTCAATGGCCTCTTTGTCACTAAGAAGGAATGTCTAATAAATGGACATAGGGTGCTCTCTCTGCCAGCTTCTCAGAGTGTTATGCTCACTACTGCTTTGTTTTAAACCCCTGGGTATATTTCCTCTAAATAAATGACAAGTGGACAACTTGACAGGCAGGGGAACTTCTACAGAATATACTTAACCATGTTGCAGTTTTCTTGGTCTCTCTTTATACACCTTGTGGTTCAAGGTTTCCTGAGGAGTCAATTTGAATGCATCACATCCAAACACTTTCCTATGACGTTTAATGAGTCATTTTTGGGAATTTGGGGGTTTCCCTCTTAGGTGTCTGGATTCTTTCTACCTTTTGTAGCCTTTGGTAGGAGTGTGGTGGAACTATTTTACTGTGAAAAAGTTTGCCAAATGATTTGAGCAGTATGATTGCTTGGTGATATCCAGTGTTACAATGTATGTGAGGAACTTCTTTCCCAGAAAGAGAAGAGATTATTTATTTGAAATCAGAGTTCTTCAAGATTTTTATGCACATTTCTATCCTTCCTATTCTACCATCTTTTATATAGTTCTGATCTTAGAATGAATTTATTTCCTTCCTTTTCCAGCAAGGAAAAGGAGCATGGTATTTAAAGTTTCTGCAAAGTCTGGCTCTCTGTTGTCTGCTGTCCATTAAAAGAATCTTTGTCACATATATCTCACAGAATTAATTGTTTACTGATAGGAACACTAGTACTGATTTCTTATTTTCCACCAGAATGTAAACCAATTGCAAGATACAAGTGAAGCATAAGAATAAGCATACAGCTGGTAGATCTGTATAAATTTGATCCTCTTTTATTTCCTGGAGTAATAGTATTTGAGAGATTTGATATATGTCTGAAGTTATTATATCTTATGATATTTAAATGATATCATTATTTTGATACATTGGCTGTTATGTAATTTGACAAAAAAGCTTGTTTTTTTAGTTTCATAGGTAAGTCAGATTAGTAGTGGAGTTATAATATGCAATAACTCTTTATAGTTTTTTGAATTTTCACATTCATATATCAAGATTTTTGCTGCAAAAAGGCTTGAGTTTTGTAAGGAATGGTTAATGCAAATTCTTTTACTTGTGAATTATTTTGTGAGAGGATGATATAAGCTATGTAGCAGCTTTCATATTTTATGAATATTAACAATAAATAGCATTCTTTGGTACAGTTGGCAAAATGTCATCTGCTTGTGAAATGAACTCCATAAAACAGGATCTGAAATAGTCTCTTTGGTGCAAGTTCCTTGAATTTATGTACTTGATAACTTGGTTTATTTTTTCTGCATTCTTGGTGTTATGACTGGAAATTTTTGAAGCTATGAAGCAAGCTTTCAAGTGTTTACACTTTTTCATCTGCAAAAAGCATTTTAAGAGCTTAACAGATGAGCTTAAGAGCTTTTTAGTAAGGTTTTCATCTAGGGTTAACTTGGTGAACTGTTTCCACCTTGTTTCTCAGGCTCTTGTAAGGAGAATTTCATTCTGTTTTTATGAAGCATTGAATTCTAAAGTATGTTTAAATTTTTGAACTGAATCAGCAAAACATGAAGTTTAATTTGGTGCAGTATGTTAATTATTATATTTAATTGGATGATAACTGCCTTTTAATGCAATTTAGAAGTTCTCACTTCATCAAATTTGCATGAAAAGAATGTTTCATGAAACTGTTACCTGCTTTTCTTCAGTTCCATGAAGCAACAGTTGATTGAAATGCAGATAACTGTAGTTTTCTTGTCAATTTTAATCAGTTTTTTGTCAGATATTTTGAATAAGTAAGCACATCCTCTAAATCATGATGTATTTGCATTATTCTAAAATGATTGTCCCACTAAATATTTTCTACCTGGTGATGATTATGATGTTTCAATATGCCAAGAAAAAAACTCTAAATCTGATAATAAAAAGATAATTTTTCTGAATTTCCTTTTTAAGGTAAAGGGGCATTCTTTAAAATAAATAAATGTTTGAATTAAGAATGTAGGGGAGAGTGTAGGTTAAGAAGACCAAAAGTTAAGAATGTGGAAAAATAATTAAAAAAACCAATTTCAAGTTTGTAATAGTTTTTCAAAGCTGCATGAAGGAAGACTACTCAAATGGGGGAGTAAAACCTTTCCTTAATCCTTGCTAAGGGCTCAGGTCCATAATGTCTCTAGTGCAATATGAAAGGTCATGTGCTTCTTAGTGCTGCCCCTATTCCTTTGAAATATTAGCAGCTGGTAAAAAACATGGAAATGGACATGGCAATGATGGAGTGAACACAGAACTTCCAAGTTCAGAGAGACATTGTTAAAATTATTCACCAGACCTTTGTAAATTTGGTGAAGTATTTATCTAGACAGCAAATATTTTTACCAACTGGCTCACTTACTGTTCATTCATAAGATTCATATTAACCTTCTCCTATGAAAAGCTCTTAACCCGTCCTCTCTCTTTTCTTTCCTTTTACTTCACTCTACTGAAACATTTAGCTATATTTCAGTAGAGGATTTTTATCTCTGATGGACTAATTTATTTTAAGTTTTTAAAGGTTAATTTTAAGAATGAACTGAACAGATTGTTATAGCTGAAAAATATTTTTCTAGGGATTTCACATAGCTGTTTTTTAATGTAAAATGCTTGGTTAACAGTTATTAATCTTCTATATTTGGGCACTGGAAAAGAATCTAGGTACATAAACCACCCAGATTATATTACTAAATGTATAAAATAAATAATTCTAGTGATGTAACTCAAGTTCTACATACTTTCTTGATTAATGAAGCATTTTAGTGAGAGACTGAAATTATCCCTGTCTGATGGAGGAGTATTGGAACTTCTTGAAATATATGATGCTTGATTTGATGACTAAGCATAGCCATTGAGTCTAAGTTTTCCATATGGCAATTGTAAAGCAAGGCATAAATGAGGATAAGATTACATGTAGGGTAATAAAATCCTATGTCTGGAATGGTGTTTGCATTTGTCTTTTCTGAAACAGAAAGAGAAGACAAACCATTTTGAACTTGTTATTATTTTAGGGCATGATACAAGCATCTTCCATAATAGTTTTAGAAATTATTTGTTAATGCCTACTTATGTAGCAGGTTCAGATCCTGGCAATATATATTATGCCAGAAATACCACTGGAATTATTTCCCCAAAATAATTCAGCTAGTTTTGACCTATGCTGTTTTAGTAGGATCAGTATTTTTTAAGCTAAATATTTGGGTTTTTTTTCCTTTTCTTTTCTTTTTGATTGCTCGTCTGTTTCCCAAATATTACCATGTAATCCAATAGGAATTAGAGAAAGAAAGAACTGTTCTTATTGAAGATGTGACTATGAACAAAAGGAGAATTAAAGACCTAGAAGATAACCTTTTATTTTGACTTAAAAGTACGAAGAGTTCTCTGGAGGATGATGAGACTCTACTAATTGTATTGAGTAACACTAAGAAGACTGCTGAAGAAATAACACAGAAACTGCAAACTTCTGCTGAAACTGAAGTACAGATCAATTCAGCCCGCGAAGAGTACAGACCTGGTGAGTGAAGGTAGTCATAGAAGACAAATAGCTAGACCATATATTTAAAAGAAAATACTTAGAGTAGGAAAATGGTAGGATAGGATCAGGAAGACCAAAATAGGTGGGAGAGATCTGTGTTTTCCTGCAAGTAAAATGTATTCAGGAGATGTCATATTGAGCTGTAACAGAGAAAATAGTCAATGTTATGCCTCATGTGGAATTTATAAAATTGAGTGAATTGTTCTCTTTGTAGACTTCCCTTTGCTGTATAAACAAGCACATCATTAGGGTGTTTAGGTAAGTATATGTTTGAGTTCAACAGGTTGACATTCTTTTACAGAGCTTGTATAACATTAAGTACTCTCTATATCTGTTCTGATGAATGCTTCACCATTTATCCTTTGGTTGTTATAGTCAACAAATTTCATGAGTCTTTTGACTTTTAACTGACAGGTGAAAAAATGTGAAAAAAACCAGGGAAAACAGGGAAAAAATAGCTCTCTGTAATTGTCTGTATTCTATGAAATGTGTAAGATGATACAGTTAATGTACCAGAAACATTGCAGCTATTGTAAAACCTTTGTGTTTAAAACTGAATGACTCCTGAAAAGAAGTTAAATCAGTGCTGGGTAAGTTCAATCAATATAGCTCATTTCTTCTATATGAATCTTGTAAAAGTTTGTAAAAAGAAATTTGTTTGGATACTTAAACAATATTTTAAACAGCCATAATTTTTATGTGTTCTGCTGATGATCTGAATATTGCAGATCTCCAGATATGCTCGTATTTGAAAACTGGACTTTACATAGTTTGCATTAATTACAGAAAATAATTTTTTACCCTGATGTATACATGAGGATTAAATGAATGATTTTATTATTTTTCTGGCAGTAAAGAATAGAGAAACTGAAGGATCTTCAGTTAACATTAGTGTAAAGATCATTGTATGTGTTTTGGAGAGATAAAGTTTTCTGCTCTACATTTCTACTTGGAACAAATTTTTCTTTCCTGCTCTTTAGTTGCAACACGAGGTAGCATCTTGTACTTCCTTATCACTGAGATGAGCATGGTCAATGTCATGTATCAGACATCACTTCGATGGTTTTTGGGGCTTTTTGACTGCTCCCTAGCCAGGTAATTTAGCTGACAATAAGTATAATTTGTATTTACCCATTCCTGGAGGTGCCTGTAGTACAGTAAAGATTAATTGTAAACTAATATCAGAAAGAAGACTCTTGCTTCTTACAATCTTGATCAAGAATTGTCAGCTTAAATACCCATAAAAATTTGTAAGTTAACAAGGCAAAGACCCTTCTAATGTACTTACAGTCTCTCAAAATTTGTCATTAGATAATTAAATACCATTATACTGCATTTATTTTCAGCTGGACAAAAAGACTTTATTAGAAAGAATTTTTTATTGTTGTTTCCTCAATCTGAACGTTGTTTCCAGCTTGCTCTCTGATATTCTGTTTGTGATCTATTATTTTGCATGTTTTGAAAATACTAACTATGGCTTTTTCTTTTTTGCATAGTATTCCCTTTCTATAAAGCCTAAGAAAATCAAATTTCAACTGCAGACCTTTCTTCTAACAGGTCTACCAAGAGCCCTATAACCAGCAAGAGTGTTACCAATATTATTGAATATATGACATATGAAGTATTCAAACATATTGCCCGAGGGCTCTATGAGGAGCATAAATTTCTTTTCACATTACTTCTTACTTTGAAGATTGATATACAAAGAAACAGAGTGAAACATGAAAAATTTCTGACACATATTAAAGGTGATAACTGTGAATAAATTATAAGGAGAGCACATTATTATTTTAGAAAATTTATGTATTTGTATCTCCTAGCCAGCATGCTCCTTCCTTTTGCACATGAGAAATCAGTCAGTTGTAAGAATACATGTTTATTATTCTGATCTGGTGACAGACAACATTGTATGGCAGCTCTAATTTATAGCAGCATACTGAATATTGATGAATATATATTTATAATGAGAATTTGAAAGTAATATTGTTGTCTGCTGCTCAAATACCATCAGGTATGTGTTTAGCTTAGAAAAATTGTTATTGTACTAAACATATTATAGTAACTGCAGCAAATAGGAGCAGAAAATGATGCTAACATTTTAAAAAAACATCAGAGTCTCAGCTGCATGAGAAAAGGTCATGGCTTTGGCCTCAACTGCATACAAGCACTGAGTTAACTTGAAAGCTTGGATCCATTTTATATTACCTTTTCAAGGGACTTAGTTTTCCAGGCAGTATTTATTAATGGATTATATGTGTGAATTTTTCTATGTTGAATCTTCAGAATATCTTTTCCCAAAAAGCCTTTTTTTCCAGGCACATTGCACAAAAAGCCAGTAAAGCCTCAAAATGTAAATTGGCTAATACTTCTGACTAAGTTACATAATATTAAAAAAAATACTATAAATTAATCATTTTGCAAACTCAGCTTAATCAAATATGGCATGGTTTTGTAAGGTAGAAAACTTCTGTAACATCATGATTTAAAAAATGGATTATTGTATTTGTGTTTTTTCCTTCTTATTTTGTTTATTTTTCTTTGTCTCTCCAACAGTGCTAATAGCTAATTTCAATTTCTTGCAGGTGGTGCTTCCCTAGACCTTAAAGCTTGTCCTCCTAAGCCAGCTAAATGGATTCTAGATATGACTTGGTTGAACTTGGTGGAGCTCAGTAAGCTTGAACAGTTTTCAGATATTCTTGATCAAGTACGTAAGAGCTTTTGAAAGTTGATCTCTTGTCTAACAAGTAATTGTCTGATAGCAATCCAGCATAAGGTGGAAATCGGTTTATTTAATGGAAGAGAAACAAAACTGACAGCAGATGACCACAGTTATAGCCCTGACTGCTTAGCAACATATGTTGCTATAAAATCTCAACCATGCCCAAGAAAATAAGAAGAGTAGAGTGTTCATACTTTCTAAAATTGTAATATTTTCAGACTGGGATTATCCCAATACAATTATCCAATTAATATATTGCAAATTTATTTTTATTCTGGTTATTACATTATCTTGCATCCCTGTTGTGCTTTCTTACACTATGTTTTATGACGCTTGTTCCAATATTACTCTGGTTACATGGAGTAAAAGTTAGGGAGAAGGTACACTCATGTGGAGAGCAATTATGTACTTGCTGTTCTCAAAGCTGTATCTGTGCCTAGCTGTCCATATTCTGACATAGCTATGCTATATTATATCAGAATATAACATACTGATGAATAGCTCCTGTTTTCAGAATATGAATACTCCAGGGTTGTGTATTCTACAATAGCATGCTTACAATCTGAAATTTTATCCTATAAGTTTTAATAGCCTTTTTAAATCTGTGGAAGAATGACTCTAAACAAATGCCTGGGTGTGAAATTCACATCTCTGACTCTCATTAAAAGTTTGCAACTTAGTGGCAGTGCAAATATGACTTGTCTGTTTAGTAATATTTGCTTTGATGGTATAATTGCATAATGCCAGAGAAGAGAAACAGTGGAAAATCTGGTTTGATAGTAAGAATCCCGAAGAATAATTGGTTCCTAGTGGCTATGGTCAATCTGTGGACTGCTTCAGACATCTTCTTCTTATCAGATCTTAGTGTTCTGACAGGACCATAGCTCAGGTATATTTTTATAGCCTACATGGTCCTTTTAAGTATCACTACAGTAATAGTTTTCAGATTGCAGATGTGTACTATCTTATATAATGCTAAAGGTCCATTTTGTAATGGATCTTTGTGTTGTATTTTCTGAAATTATTTTCAGACTATGTATTTGTTACAAGGGCAGTGATAAAAAATTATTCCAATATATTGAACAAATATTATCCACTGTGGTGATTTCTGCTAGAATCATATGTGTTTATCCAGATCTGCTTTATTAGTTCAGAAGATACTTTTGACTATCCTTGCTTACTCACTAGAACTCTAGAAGTTTCACTGTGTTAAACTGAAGTAAAATATTTTAATGAACTTGACTGGATGAGGTAAAATTGAAAACAATTTAATTGAGAAACTATTTCTTGCATGGAAGAATTAGAATCACTTTGGAAAAATCTTTAATAAAGTCTGCTCAAAGTTCTCAATTTAAAGACATCTATTTAAAAATTTCAGAACTGAAGTTTATTAAATAGACCTTTTTTAAAGAAAAATAATTTTCTAGGAACTTATTTTTAAACTTTATGTTCTTCTCCAGTACAAAAGAACAAAAATTTATAACATTACTGAGAATTCAGGACAATTAATGATGATTTACTGAAATTAGAATGCATCACTTGAAGTGTGGTGTTAATTTTATTGATGCATATCTTTAGATATTGGGATTGGATTCAGAGAAAATCTCACCAGTTACTGGTGTAACTGCAGTCAATAGATTAAGCAGTACTGTATAATGAATATCTCTATGATGTCTGCTATGTGTCTGAAACAGATCACACAAGATTAGTTCCTCCTTACTGTTAATGGGGCAAGGTAAACTTTCATCTTTCCATGGTTTTATGAAAACTGATAGTTCATCAAATATTATATGCTGAATGTCTTTTGTCTCTGAGAGGTAACCCAGAGGTGTTAAGGGGAAGATTTATCTAAGACAAGAGCTGTGTTGGGGGAAAGTGTGTAAGAAAAATCATCTCAGATTGTTTGAAAGAGCCTTTTCTATTTCTTTGAGAAAAAGAACAATAACCTAGAATTTTTAAAGATAAATAAAGAGGGGAGAAGAGTTGGTTTTCACCTATTCCTCTGGATTGTCTGCTTAGTGATAGTTATTTTAATAATTACTACTGTTAATTCTTGCTTATTTTACTGCAGAGTGAGAAAGGCCTACAAGCTTTGAAGTCCATCTTTAGTATTTTTCTCTTATTTTTGTAGATTCTGAGGCTGAGTTACACTATCTAATGGAGATATCCTTAAATCATTAACATGTTTCTAAAGCTTTAGAGAAGTTGTTATTTTTTATTATACTCTACTTATGATTATATATACAAATACATACAGATATATGTTGACGTTCCCCCCCTAACACAGCCCCCTGAATATCAGGCTAGCCCAGAGATCTAAGGCTGTGAGGGGAGGAATATCAGGAGATGGCAAAGATTCCCAAAAGAGGCTCTTACCCGAGATATGTTGGTTCAGCTCTCTTTATTCTGTGGTGTCCAAGGGGAGAGCGGGGCAAAAGAGGACGAACAGGAATTGTCAGGGGTCTATATAGACTTTGGACAGGGTGGGCTTCCCTGGCTCTCCGCCAACCCCGTTGGTGCAGGAAGGAGGGGTCCAGGGTTATCTTGATCAGAGTTACAGGGTCCCGGGGAAGGGGGAATAGTGTGCCCATGAGCTCACTGTAACAATATGTAATCTAATAATTATTTTTTAAAAATTCACTGGTTGTATAAGGCTATAAAAAATAATACCTTCAAAGACAGTATGCTATGTTGACATGTAAAAATAAACTTGTTGTATATTTATATTTTTGATATAAATTTTTAAATTTCTTTGGTCTACAGTTGACCTTTTGGTAATATTTACACTGGGAAGAAAACAGTATAAAATGGTTGGGCCACAAGTTAAATTTACCCTTTTTAATATAGGCAAGAAAATATATCACTGACACTATGGGGGAGAAATACGCAGAGGGAGTCATCTTGGACTTGGAGAAAACATGGGAAGAGTCAGATCCACGTACTCCCCTCATATGCTTTCTTTCCATGGGCTCTGATCCTACGGACTCAATTATTGCTTTGGGAAAAAGACTGAAGACAGAAACATATTGTGTTTCCATGGGCCAGGGGCAAGGAATCCATGCTCGTAAACTTCTACAGCAGACAATGGCTCATGTAAGTAACAAAAACCGGAATGTTTTTCTCTCTGTATTAAGCACTTAGAAATAAAAATCCTGCCATGAGATAATGTTGTTTGGTGGGTAGTTAGTGCTGATGCAAATGCTGACGTTTATTTATATGTGTCCTAAGCAAGAGAACTGTATTTTCACACTCCTTCAATTTGCCACAGCAAATTTCTTGATACTGTGCAGATGCTTTTCCTTGAAAATTGAGTGTTTTTCATATAAAATGGGGATTTTATAGTGATTGCAGACTGATGAACAGAGCTGAATTGATTTTTTGTTTTTTTGATTATATCACCAGCAAATATTCTTCTGTAGGCATTTCAGATTATATTTTCAGTTTTTTATTTTAATAATATGGATGTATTTTGTTAAATAAAAAAAAAGATATGCTATTTATAGTTACATAAACTTGAGAAAAACAAGGTAAGTATAGCAAGTTATTTTGTATTGCTGTAGTCTGAATTTGGACTTAGGAGGGACAATCTGGTAACAGGCATTTTACAGGACGAGGAATTAAAGAGAAAAACTATCCGTATGAGAAAGGTGAGTTGTTCCAATCTGGCATGCTTTGCACATCAAGTGGTACTACTGCTATGCCCACTGATGTGAAAATACTGATCTTACTCTCCTTTGCTATGAGCTTCTTTTTATGACCTGTTTTACTTTTGCTTCAGATACTTGTTTGATAACTTCTCATAAGGAACTAATTGACAGATAAAATGAGAAGAAACCCATTCAAAAACAGGGGAAAGGAGCATCTTTAGTTTAGTCAAGAGAAACACAGTTACCTTCCCTCACTGTCTAACAAGGTGTCTTTGGGAAGAGGTGTGGAGTTGCGTTATTTGTATGTTTTATTATCCCTGTATTATGTATTGGTTTATTCCTTTGTACCCCCGTGTGCAACTTGGTTTATCCCCAGTTTTCCCGCCTTGTCCTCCCTTCCCGCCTTCCCAGTATCTATCCATCACCCTGAAAGAGGCATTTTACCCCCCCCGGGTGCCTTGTCTATCACTCGGTGCCCCTTCCCATCCATCCAGAAGCTTCTACTCAGGGCACCGGGTGATTGGGCAAGGACCTGGGACTCCCCCCATATCCTTCCCCCATTAGACCCCACCATATCCCCCCATCCCGGAGCCACCCCCTATCCCTATCCCCATTGGTCGTTGGATACCCCTCCCTCACAGTTTATAAGCCAGTGCAAGCACCTTGTGCTTGTTCCTGTTGGCTGGCATCGTTCTAGGACATTTGGCCCCGTTGGGCTACAATAAACTCGGACTTAGCCCCCAGCAGGATCCGCTCTTCATTTACCACCGCGAGGCTTGCTAGCGCTGCCCGGAACCCACAAAGGCACTCTCCAAACCCCAGCTGGGAGCGGCGGAGGGTGCCTCCATCGCCCACTCTCGCCCCAGAGAAGAGCTAGCCGGGGCTGAGACAAAGGGAACAGGGGCGGGAGCGCGGCAAAGAGGTATATGAGATGCCTATAATGAAATATGGTAATTCATATAAAGAAGTTTGACATCTGTTGATTGATAGAAATAGGTTAATAATGTATGCTTATTTGATTATTTTCCAAGCCTGGAACCCCTGTGAGGACCAAGGTTTTGCAGGTTGCTCTGTGGAGCTACTCCTGAGCTCCCTTATGTAAGTCAAAATTTATCAGTTTCTATCAGCGCTGTAGTCATGACAAGGTATGTTTTAAATGTATTGAAATGGAAAAGGTAGAGAATATTTAAATAAACCAGATGAGACAATTAGGGACCACTTGTTCAGGTGAAAAAAACCAAATAAGCTAACACCATCTTCAGAAGAAACAGCCCAGATCTTAGCTCCCATCAAGGAGATTTCAGATGTTGAACAATGTTGATAACTTTTTAAAATCCATTGTTTTTAACTAGGGAGGTTGGGCACTTCTGCAAAACTGCCACCTTGGACTTGACTTTCTGGATGAGTTAATGGACACAGCAATAGAGACAGAGAATGTTCGTGAAATCTTTAGATTTTGGATTACAACTGACATTCACAAACAATTCCCCATCACCCTTCAAATGTCCATTAAGTTCACCAATGAACCACCACAAGGGCTCAGAGCTGGACTAAAGAGAACAGTGATAGAATGAGTCATAGAATGCTAATGATTTTGGACTGTGATGCTATTGTGTAGTCAGGTTAAACTGGTAGTGGGTGTAAGCTGGTATGAGGAACTGCTTGCAATGATGCCAGGGCACATCTTAGTTTTTGTTTTGAAAATTAAAAAGAAGATTTGCTGATGCTCTGTTGCCACAACTAATTTGATATCAAAACAATTAATGCCTTTTCTTTTCTCACAATTTGGCTTGTAGTATCTCAGTTCAAAGTGTTTGAATTTTTAATATTCTGTCTTTTGGCAGAAAAATGGCATGGTTAGCCATCAAGTGCTCTTTACACTACATAAAATAAAGGACAAAGTCTGTGCAGAAAGCCACTTGATGTGAATTCAGCTATCAGTAAATTGTGGGGTTTTTTCCCCCTGAAGTTTACTCTTTTAATTTGAGCAATTTAATAACATGCTATAAACTGTCTCCAGCACAGAACATTTTGTGGGACAATTATTTACCCTTGGGAGAAGCAGAGAGCAAAGTGAATATCTCTAGAGTGATATTTTAGCACTGATTTGAAGTAGTTTTGAAAAAGACAATTACAGTGATTCTCATAAAGCCCATTTGCCATCAATAGGTATCAACCAGGATTTATTAGATGCCAGTAAAATGGTGCAATGGAAACCACTGTTGTATGCTGTAGCCTTTCTGCACTCCACCATTCAAGAAAGATGCAAAGTTGGGTCTCTGGGTTGGACTATTCCCTATGAGTTTAATCAAGCTGATTTCAATGCTGCTGTGCAGTTCATTCAAAACCACTTGAATCGCATGGATACCAAGAAGGTAATTAATGATTCTGTGGGAAAGGTGGATTAAGATGATGGATCTTTCTAGTAGTAGAATGTATGCAAATACTTCCTAGTAACTTAACTACAAAAATGATTTTAACTTATTGTTTTTTCCACAAATATTCAATATTTCAAGTATATCTGTCTCTACAGCAGCAGACTTATACTTCTAATCCAGTGCATATTTAATTTCTATATTAACCTCTACATTAAAAAAAAAGCCTTTCCAGCCATCTCAGAAATATAAACCTTAGAAGTATAGACCTTCTTTTCAATCTAAGTCAATTTGTTTAAAAGAGATATTTCAAATACTCTTGTGTTTCAATCCATTTTGAGTAAAAGTAAGATTTCCCCCCTCTGCCACCTATCTTTGCAGCATGAAGAAGTCAAAAGTGGTTTTAAATGACTATACAAGAATGTCTCCTGTTTCTCACTTTCATATGGTCAGTTGTCATACAGAGAGGACTGTGTCAGAGCAGTTTGCAGTTGGCATTTTAAGTGAAAGGAGAATTCAAATATATCTGTAACCTTCTTGCTATCTTTAAGATGCTCTTCAATTTCAGCAAATTCTATTTTGAGAAATCCTTGCAGGTGTTCAGGGAATGCCAGACTATAATGAAAAAAGAGTAACAAGAAAGTAACTTTCTTTCAAATGGGACAGACATGGTACATCAGCTGTTTTTTCTAAGGGAGGTCTAAGCAAATAAGAGGGGATTAGCTGAAGTCAGTGGTTTCTGCTTGGTTTTAGGGGATCTGCTGGAGTACTGTTTGTTACATGACAGGTGAGATCCATTATGGTGGTCATGTGACAGATGACTTTGACAAAAGACTCATGAAAACCTTTGTAAAGATTTGCTTAAGTGAAAACACATTCAGTCAGGAATTCAGTTTCTACAAAGGATACAGCATACCCAAATGTACTATGGTGGATCAATACCTTCAGTACATACAGGCTGGTAAATGAAAACCATTTCTCATAAGTTGTTTCTCATAAAATATTTCTCATAAGTTCCTGATTCCCTATAATTTTTGTCTTTTTTCTGAGTACCTGTATGTAGTAGATAGGGACAGGCGAACGGAAGATTTCGGGATGTGACGGAAAGAAAGACCCCCCCATCCCCCTCTCACCCTGCAACATGTTATCCATTACCCCAAAGAATGTAACCACACCTAACCCAGTAGTTTTCCACTCCTGACTAACCCTAGAGACCCTGCCAACCCTCCCTGACGTAGCAGAGTGCCCCAAGACTATTTAAACCCATGAGATAAGATAATAAAGGCTTTTCGACCGTCCACCACATTGGTGTCCTGCGTGTGTCGTTAGCCCGAGTGGCCCAGGGGAGACTGGGCTGCCGTGCTGTTCCTTGCAACCAGGTCGCCGTTGCCTCCCATGAAGGCAACACCTGTATTTTGTCTTTCATTCATAGATTTTTAAACTGATTTCTAGCACTTTGCATATCTATTAGTGATAACTAATTTTGGTTATCAATGTTAAAATTTTCATGACCGTAATATATATTTTCTTTTTCAAGCGTGTTGCTTGTGGGACATACCTAAAGGCACAAAGTTATTAAAGGGGGCAAAGAATGGAGTCCAGACATTGGGTACAACCTCTTTGAAATAAAAGGTCCAGGTATATGAGAGTAAAGATTTATTATTAAAATAGTGTATAGTTGTTAAAACACAATTTGTTTGGTGTGGTTTGGGCTGTGACATGACAAATAGACCATAGCAAGTTATTTGGCTTAAGATTATTTGAAGAAATCTAGCTTGTTATTTAACAGTAATCTATGGGTTTTTTTTCCTTTTTTTATTTGGTTCTGTTGTGTGTTGAGTTTGATTTTTGTTTTTGTTGTTGTTTTTGTTTTTGTTTGGGGATTTTTTAAAAATAATTTGCTTCTAAATCTCCAGTTGTACTCTTCTTATATTTTATTATGTAGAGCTTTCCTGCTTATGACACACCAGAGGTGTTTGGTTTGCACCCCAATGCGGATATCACCTACCAAAGTAAAGTTTCCAGAGGTATATTGGACACCATCCTCAGTATTTGTCCTAAAGATAGCTCTGGTGGAGGAGGTGAAACTCAAGAGGCAGTTGTAGCCACACTGGCTGATGATATGCTGGAAAGACTTCCTGCTGATTATGTACCATTTGAAGTGAGTTAATGAAATTCTGGCAAAAACATTTGGTCCATCTTGCCTTTTATGGATTGAAAATAAAAAAACACCAACAAATTCCCAAAAACTTTTCTAAAAGCATGTTTGAATTAATTAATACAGGCAATACTTTGTATTTTAAAGAAGTGTGGTCAAACTATTGATGTTTACAATGAAGTCATTAAATATGTGCAGAAGTGCTTTTGTAAGGACTTTTTCAGAAATATTAAACCTGTTAATGTTTAAGTTGTCATTTGCATTATGAGGGAGGTAGGATCATCAGCTTTTAATTGAGGTTGTTGACACTATAAAATTTCTAGTTATGTTAATACAGCTGTTTATTTGTTTGTTTTACACTTTTGATTAAAAATGTATCAGTGAGTTTGATTAGAATACAGGACTGCCTACTATTGTGATAGTTCCCAGGCACTGCTGCTATGCTGAAGCAAAGTGGCTAGGGCAATTACTCTTTATTAGTTTGTTCAAAAAGAACCTTGGAATTGCTTGTTGGAACTAAAGCTGAATTCTCTGAACTAAGGTAAACAGCCTACAAGCTCTTTAAATGGCATTAGCTCAAAGACTAAATCATGACTTGGACTAAAAATATAGTCAGTCTCAGCATCAAAGATTTCTCTTGGAAAAAAATCCTGTGTTTCTCTCTTGGAGATGATTCAAGGGAGGTGCCAAACTGACCATTTAAGCTCATAAATAAATTATGTTATGTCTCAAAGATCATACTGGGGCCTAACACTGACATAAAGCCAATTTTATTTTTTTCACTTCTATTGAAAGATCTTTGGTTTTCTACGAACAGGTAAAAGAAAAACTAAAGAATATGGGACCTTTTCAACCTATGCACATATTTTTGTGACAGGAGATTGAACAAATGCAGAGAGTTATTTCTTTAGTGAGAAGCACTCTGACTGATCTGAAACTTGCCATTGATAGGACAATAGTTATGAATGAAAATCTGAGGGATGCTTTAGACTGCATGTATAATGGAAGGATTCCTGCTAGCTGGAAAAAGGTAGGTGTACGTCACTTGTTCTGGAAAGAAATAAAAAAATCTATTTCTGAAGACTAGATTAAACTGCTAGACTTATAGTAAACATTTTTCTCAAACTATGTTTCAGAAGTGTTAACCAGAGCTGTGCAACTGCTGGAATAGATTTTGTGCTAAAATAAACATACTCAAAACAAGCCTTCTTTCATTTATGAAAATTGAAATGAATATGAAGGATGCAGCTTTGTTCCATTTTAACAGTCTGTTACATATTGGCAGTATAAAAACACAGAGAGAGGAGAGAAATTTAAAATATGATGATGGATTTTAAAAATTAGCACCCACATTAGTGGACTAAGATGGTGTTATTTATTGGACATATATAATTATTGGACATCCTTTTCTGGGTTAAGTAGAAGTGGCCTGTCCATTTTGGTCAAAATCAGTGTGCTTTGAGTTTGAGAAATAGCCACATAATTACAGAATAGTAGATGCTGAAAAGGACCCATGGAGACAGTGTAGTTTAATCACACTTCCTAAAGAAGGGTCAGTAAAATTAGGTTTCCCAGGAGTCTCCAGAATCAGAGAGGTGCAACCCATTCCACTCTTTGATCATCTTCACAGTAAAAACCAACCAATCAACCAACCACCAGCCAAACAAACAAAAAACTCCTTAAGTTGAAACAGAATTTCTGACATTTTGTCTTGTTCCCATTGTCTTCTGTCCAATTGCTGAAAAGGATCAGGCTTCATCTTCTTCAGTCCTCCACATGAGATATAAACCTATTTAATCTCTTCTCCAAGCGAAACAATCCCAGATCTCAGCCTCTCCCCATATAAATTGTTTTCAGGGATAATTAGACCTCTTAATGGCAACTGATGGAAAGATTTTTTTTTTTAAGAAAAAAGGGTTTTTTTTTGGTTGATTGCTTGTTTTGTTTCTACTGGAAAAGTGTTTTCATGGTAGAAAACCTAGATGTGAACAGATGCTTCACAACACAGCGATATCTCCACATAGTCCAAGTTCAGTTTTCCGTAGGTTTTATCCAGAAGAATAAAAATGCAGAACAGTCCTACAGAAATCACGTTGTCTTGCTATATTGACCTTGGAATTATAAAGACATGTATACAACTTTTCTTTTTCTCTTATACAGCTGTTTAACCTTGCAAAAATGTCATAAAATGGACAATTCCACAGAGAGCATTAAACATGTAAATGGAATAGTAGACATGATTTTAAGCAGAAGAAGAATTTCCTTCAGGTTTCAGTGGGATGCAAAGTTTAAACATCAGATTAAAGTTAAGATATGATAGATGATCTTCAAGTATGCTTTGCTAATATTATATTGTTTATTACCATGGGAAGATGTAGCTTTGCTTGACAGCAATGTGCTATTTTAAAACATGTTTACGGTTTTTAGGCATCTTGGCTTTCCAGTACTCTTGGTTTCTGGTTTACTGAGCTTCTAGAAATAAACCACCAGTTTTACAAGTGTATTTTTGAAAGTCGACCAAACTGTTTCTGGACGACAGGGTTTTTTAATCCCCAAGGATTTTTAACTGCAGTGAGACAGGTAAATTGTGTTTGAAGTCTTATTTTGCTTATTTCTTTGCATGCTTTTTTTAACAGAAAGTATTGTCTGATGAAGGATGAGTTTATACACGTGAGAAGATTGTGACTGTAACATTTCCTGAGTTAACTGCTCTTCCTTCACATATACTTTTTCAGTATAGCAACCACAAATGTGTTAAATTATCTTTCCTGTGTTGACCAAGGCCCAAATGAGTAGAGGCTACCAAACACCATTATTAAGGTAGACTAGAAAAATATTTAGTCTCATGTTTCCATTGAGATATCTTTGAGAATGGCCATTAAGCCCATGAATTTGCCTTTCCCCCCCTTTTTTTTTGTTCTGTGTTCAGTACATACCTGACTGGAGAATGGGCTGATAAGCTATTCAGAATTAGTCTTACATTTCACTGCTGCTGTTCAGTAGCTGATTAAGTCTTTCTTCAGGAAGTGGGAAAGATTTTCCTTTATTGATGCATAGAAATATGATATTTGATGTGTTTGCTAATGCATGTATGTTAATTTGGTGATTGTGTTGGCTACTCAGCAACTTTTTTGCTTTAAAATGAAGCAATAAATGCCTGTGTTGGTCAGCATAAAGGGATATATGGGAAACAGTAAGCATCTGGAGTGTGTAAAATTAAAAAAGAATACTCAGGTGAAAATACAATGGGACATCAGGAAAAGAAAGCCCAAACTTTGTAACGAAATATTTCTTTGAGTGAACAATCCTAAAATAGAACTATCTTTTGCATCCAAGCTTGTGGAAAAGGTTTACTAGCAGGATTGAAACCAGTTGGAAATGACAGAATTTTATGGTTCTGTAAAAAGGAACTGTGAATATGTGACAACTTAATATCCCAAGTAAATACCAAAGTGAGTTTCCGGACTTTGCTGTGTTGTAAAACAAATAGAAATGAGAAGGAGGAATGATCATTGAGCTATAAATCTTGAGTTCTTTTAGATCATCCATGTAACTGCAGTACAGGGCAAGTATTCATTCCAATTACTTCAAAGAAAGATTTTTGAAGCCATTGGAAGACTAAGATAAAACTTGGGTTTGCCATAACTTATTTGCGTGGCATAGTAAAGAACTGGGCTACAGAGAGTTGAGTATTGTCCAGTGCATTAACTAACAGTTTTTTTTGCAGTTTCTTTACATAGCTTTATAGCTGAGTGAGTTCTTACTCATTAGAAATACAGTTACTGAAGAGGTGCAGGAAAAGGAAGATAACCCTATAAAATATGTTTCACTTACCACATGCAGGTAATGTTTTCTCATCTCATCAAATATGTGAAATTTTTGTGTTCACAAAAGCTGGCTACCATTGACATCCAGAGGCTGTATTACTTGGTATATTCTTTAGATACTTTATATAATAGAAAGAAATTAAAATCAAATATAGTGGAAAAAATACTGAATGCTTTCTTGCAGTGCCATGCCATTACTCCCTTAGAGAAAAGTAAGACTTCTCTGAACATGAATATTGTAAAGGATTGGTGGGATTTCTTTGTACTAAAGAGGATATTTTATGACCATACAAATATATTTCTAATAACAGCTGGGAAAAAGGATTCTGTGCTCATGTGAAAATGTAACCACCTAACTTTTGTCTGGTTTGGGCAGGAAATAATGAGAGCCAACAAAGAATGGGCTCTTGACAGTGTAGTGCTGCAATGAAGTCACAAAATGGATGAAGGATGATATCACAAGCCCTCCTTCAGAAGGTGTCTATGTGTATGGGCTGTATTTAGAAGGAGCTGGTTGGGACAGAAGAAACATGAGACTGACAGAATCTAAGCCCAAGGTGCTCTTTGAGCTGATGCCAGTTATAAGGATATATGCAGAGAATAACAGTAAGTAACAGTATTGTAAAGGATGTTATTTCCATTGAATTCAAGGTAACATTTTATTTAACTACATTGAAATATTTTAGGCTGCAGGGATTTCATGAGGCTGCTGCTAATCATTGTATACATAGCAAATCTCTTTCAATGGGGAAGACTTCCCAGTCTTCCACTGAAAATGTGTTTTCAGACTTGCTTCATAATTGATAGTAGTCAATTTTCCTAATATTTAGATAGGTCTCTATACGTGGTGTTAATGGTGTTAAGAGCTTTGTAACAAGTAAGCTGTACATATTGACAATATATGTTCCAGACCTAAAATGCCATTTTTCTTATACATAAACTCTGTGATCTCTGTAGCCTTCATAACCTAAATCTAAATAATCTCTTTCACTCCTATCAAAAATGAATGTAATTTATATATATATATATATATATGTATATATATATATATATATGTATGTATGTATATACAACATACAAGATACTCATAGATTATATACACACACACACACACATATATATATATATATATATATACAGGTATATATTGTATTTATAGATAACATATTTTTTATATATACATATATATATAATATGTATATTTATAAAAACTTTTTTTTCTGGACAAGTCTGATTTTGAGCTCATGGAAGCAAGCAAGAGGTGGAGTGAGGTGGTGGGAGATGTTTTGTCTTTGAGGCAGTAAAGAAATGTAGGAATGGAAAGGAAACTTATGGGGCTTAAGGACAGCTCTGTGAAAATATGTAATTTATCTTAATGTGATGAGTTTTTGCATACAGAATAGGAAATGCTATTGAATAGGCATGTAAAACAGAATAATCAACTGCAAAACATAAAATTGGAAAACTCTATTGAAAAGCATTCCACCTCTAAAAGCAAATCTTGCTAACATGCTATTTTGCATAGATAATGTTTTACAAAAGGCATGATCAGCAGCCAAGATACTAAATAATGAATACTGAAGTACTGAGCATGACTAGACTATTGTTCTAATTCTGCAGTGAAGTAGCTGATGACTTGTACTATATAGTACAAATACTAAATACATTTCAAACCAGGTTGTTAAAAGTAGGGAAATTTTATTTTGGTATAATACATTGATAAGAAGTAATGTTCAGTGGGCAGATTGAAGCAATAAGAACGCTAATTACTCTAGAGTGTCGATTTACATATATTGGTTTGCATCAGTTCCTAGGTGCTCACTTTAAACCCACAGAAATTTCAAACCATGTTATGTCCTTCAACTGGCAATAGCAAATAGAGAGCAGAGTACTACTGAACTTGGATTCAGTTCTCCATTTGCCTTATGATCATGCCCTTAGGGCCCCATTTTTTCAGCTTTAATTGTTCTTTATATCTCTTTTGTCTTTTCAGCTGCAAAAGATCCACGTCTGTATTCATGTCCGGTCTACAAAAAGAGCAGTCGAACAGATCTTAATTACATTGCTGTTATGGATCTTAAAACCCGTCAGCCTACAGAGCACTGGGTACTCCATGGAGTAGCACTTCTGTGTGATGTCAAGTAATGTTAAAAAAAAGAAAAAGGTTTATTTTCTGATTTTAAATGCAAACATTTTTATGTAGTTAGATACAGAGTGAAACACTTCTAAAAATATTATTTCTAAATCATAGACTCCATTATGATGTTTTTATAAAATTATTCTCAATAAAATTATACAATAGGCTTATAAATGGCACATCTTACAGTGACATTAACTTTTGTGTCTGTGAAAAATCATGACAAATATTTAGTGCTCCTATCACTTATGTGTGTATAAGCCCTCCTCCTGTGTGCCTAATTTTACCTTGGATAAAGATTAATTGATTTGAATATTGTTACTTTTTGGTAGTAATATTCTTGTATCAGGACTTACCTTCAAGAGGCTAAAGGGAAAGCTGTTTTTTTTTTATAATTTTAGTTTGTTCGGTTTTTTGGTTTTTTTTGGGTTTTTTTTTAATTTTTTGTGTGTGTGTGTGTGTGTGTGTGTATCTATGGAAAACTAAGCCCTAATGCTCATTCATATTAGTTAAAATTCCTCAAGATTATGTTCCAAGATTTATATCCTAGATGATAGTTTGCTTGCTGTCTAAATAAAGAAGGTAAGGCTGGAAAAATATCACATTTTTTTCATTACTTGGAGAACAAATTCATTTTGTTACATAGGAAAACAAGCATCTGACAGCTGCCAAAATTCTTTACTATCTGGCTCAGGACTCATAAATATGTAATGAATCCAAAGCATTACATAAGAGCGAACGGATACTTTTTGTGTGTTACTATACCAGAGTTGGATCTCTTGTCATCAGTGTTATTAGTAGATGGGGCTTTCCCCTTTCCCTCCCCATCCCTCCCATTTTCCTTCTTCCTTTTTTTAAAATGTCTCCCTTTTTTTGCTTATATGCTGAAGCTTTTTTGGTGTCTTTCATAGAAAACCTTTCATGGAGGAATTAATCTTAAAAGAGAGACATTAGCAGCTCCATTTAATTGGACACTGTGGGCCTCACACTTCAAGCACACATATTTATTTAATCATTTAAAAAAACAGTGTATTTTTGTTGCTGAGTTGAGGAGCTCATGTGTCTTAGAGGTCCACTAACCATTCCCAAAGTTTGCTTCTTCAAAAGAGGAAGCAGAGAGACTCAGTATTCCTGCTGCATCTGTCATTCATAAAGGCTAAAATGTAGAACCTGTTTTCAATTTTATGTCAAATCAATACAGGAGACTTCATTTCCACAGTCAAATCACTTATAAAACTTAGGTGGAACATTGATTCTGTAAAACAAATTCAGATTGTAGAGATCCTTCCCTGTTGGAATTAATATTTTTTTCTTTTAAATAACTCACAATGATACAAATGAAATATGTGAAAATCTTTTATAGGAAATACTTTTAATTTAGACATGACAATAAATTAAGTTTGAAGGGTTGAAGTGTTTATTGAGCCTTGAAGCACCATGCTCCAGTTTCCAGGAGATTTCCAGATACTCACTGGAGTTCTAAGTTGCCATAGACTCATGTCTTTCACTAAGACCTTCCTCTTTGAAGAAGATGGACATATTTCATCCTTGAGCAAGTCATTCATACTGAGAATTTACAAGCCACGTGCACTTCAAATACCACTTTTAAATGGGCATTTTTTTGTACTATTGCTGTAGATACAGTGGATACATCAAACACAACAGTAATTCACTGAGGGGACCGTGCACATTTCTTTTTCAGAGTGTGATTTTCTATGGGAATAGTAAGGCAAAGGATAATTCCTACACTGGTGATCCTAGTTATTCCAAAGGCTGTTAGGTCAGTGAAACAATTGATATTGACCATCACTGTTATTTCTGTTGTTTTAGCTTTCTTTTTGTAAAAGGTTTGGCATAGTCTCTTTAAGTGTCTGCAAAATCACCATCAGGGATGGAAAAATAAGGCAGGTGAATGTTCAGTGAGCACTTGAAATGTAACATTATATCAAGGTCCAGAGTGCATACCCTGCTCTCCCAGAGGTTTTGCTGCCTGGACTGGGAGTACACTTGGAGCAGCTCAAATCACACCTGCCTCATTTACTATAGCCTTGCCTTGACCTGTGTGGCACTCTGGTGATCATCTCTTCAGGCCCTGCCTTACTGACTCATCTTTCTGGCTTGATCTCAGATCTGTATTGTTATTATATCCTCATCTGGCAATCATTGATACATTAGCTGGCCCTGGTTGCTTTCTTTTTTTGTTCCGGTTGCCATGGGACTGCATCCTTGTCAGAGACTCTGCCCACTGTGCTGTGGCTCTTGGCTTCCAGCTCCACTGTCCTGTCCAAGCAGCCTGCCTTTGCTGTGCCCTGACATATGCCTTAAACAGGGGAAAAATTAGCTCTTTATTGTTCATCTTCATAATATCAGAAATAGGTAATGAAATCCTTCAATGGAAAGGCATATCAGTAAAATAACCAAACCTTATGTATTGTAGAATTGGATGTCTAGAATTCTTTGGTTCTGCTATTGGTACTGAATGGATTAGTCAATAAATACTATTCACAGACTTCAATTATGCTGCTATTAAGCATGCAGCATTATAAATTTGAGGGTCTGGAGGAGTTCAGGATTATAGAAGGTATCTCTATATGAATTTCTCATATTTGGCATGATAAATATATGTATTTTAGAGAATATTTAAAAACAAACATGATACAAATTTACCTTGGAAATTAATACTAAAATAATGTTCTGAACAAGGTGCAGATAGTTTCATCATTTGAAATGCCTCAGAAATTTTAGAGTTTTTAAAATAGGCAACATAACCTTTTAAATATGTACTGTGCTGTTTAGGGTACATTACTACTATATGAACTTCTCTTCAGAAAATATTTTTTTCCTTGAACTCTGTGCCTACACTCATATCTCTTAGCTCCTAGGTCACTTTTCTCACAGTTGTTGATTTGTTGCACTTTCCAGATTATAAGGAAAAATAAAAATTCAAGTTTCAAACACAGTAGACAATGCAATTCCAAACTATCAGTAAATATGGTTGTCATCACTGAAAAGGATTTTTTTTTTAATCTGAAGTACATTGTTGTGGTATATTTACAAAAACTGGATTAATAAGAAACTGCTTCTTATTCTGAAATATCCTTCATTAAATTATTTTTATAATTAAATCAATATTGGAGAAAATTCAGTTTTTCTTTATTATTAGGGTTCTTTTTTTCATTCTTTGTTTGGACAGTTACCTTATTTTAATTACGCAGAGCTGGATGTACTAAATGGCTTCCTAATGAATTTTGAAATAAAGCTTGACTAGTGTTCATATTGCCACATTTTAATTTTTAGCATTCACATTACAAAGACATTATGGGTGTATACAAATATCTGAAGGCTTTTGAAACACAAAGAACATTTAGAAAATGAATGCTGCAGGTGTTCTTCATGTGCTTGTGGATCCCAAGATGTACCATTTGCTGGAGCTTCTGGCATTTAATTTGTACTATGTATCTTTTCCAAGGGCTATACTACTCCGTAGCTTTTGTAATAATAAAATTAAAACATCCAGTGTAAATGATCATATATTATGCATCTGTATCTTAACATAGAAAAATGTAATTAAAATTTGAGCTTTTAAAACTAAAAAACAAATATATGCTACCAATCTCACTTTGCCCTTGAAGTCTACACATAAAATTAGAAATTTCTTGGTATTTACTGGCACATTCAATCTTTTAAACAAATATCCAAAACAAAGACCTATTGAATCAACACTGGAAAAGTTGGCAGAAGAAAAAGAGGGAAGAAAGGCATAGTTAAAATATTCTTTAGATAGAAATGTTATTTAAAATGGATACTGGCCTTTAGCTTTTTAGTAGAATTATTATTTGCATTGCAATCACTTGGAGAACTGAAGAAGTTATTTTAGCTTTTGCTGTCAAAGGGTATGAGCTATCCTTTTTTGGTTAGAAAAACAGCAGATGTTTGCTGATGTAAAAACATTATTTTTTTCTACAAAGGTGCTATCTTAGAACAAGAAAATCTACACACAGAAAAAGAAGAGTTAGGAAACTCTGTGAACCGTCTGTGAAAAGAGGTTGACATGATTGAACAGAAGGCAGAGTAACTTGTTAAGACACTGTTTTTACATGAGCTGCCTGCAAATAACAAAGTTTTCAGTTTCCCTGTTAGACTGCCACAAGAATGGCAGCCAATATATATAGCTCCTCCTGCAATGTGTCTCCCCCACCATCTTACATTTCTTGAGTATAAAATGTGCAATTTTTGCAGAAAAATGTAATCTGGAATCTCTTCTTAGCTGACCTATTTAACTTACTATATTGAATATCACATTATGCTTTCCTCTCTTTAAGCTGAATTTGTTTTCTCTCTTTCTCTGCATGAAGTGCAATTCCAGCAAAATAACAGTAGCTTAGTTTGGGAAGAGGACTGTAAGTGGTTCATCTTATCTTTCAGTATTTTTTCTAATCTGATTGATATATACCTGGAAAGGAAATGTTAACTGATTATGAAACTGATAAGCCCTGTAGAAGATTGTGACATGAGCATGTGAAGATGTGCTCAGTGGAAGTGCTCAGCAGGCCATGATTTTCACAAATCAATTCCTTTGTGTTTAATTTCAGTACTTAAAATGGGCTTAAAAGAAAGATTTGGAAAATCATTAGTAGGGCTTGTTGTGGTAAGACAAGGGATAATGGTTTTAAACTAGGAGAGAGTAGACTTAGACTAGATACAAGGAAGAAATTTTTTTATAATAGAAGTATTGAAGAAACATTAAAGCAGGTTGCTCAGGTAGGTGGTAGGTGCCTCATCCCTGTAAACATTGAAGGCCAGATTGGATGGGGCTCTGGGCAACTTCATCTAGTTTAAGACTGTAGAGAGGTTGGAATAAAGGCCCTTTAAAGGTCCTTTCCAACTCAAGACATTCGGCGATTTTATTACTTACATAAATCAGTATAGTTTCACTTAAAATACTTTGTGTAAAATGTACAGACGATATAAAATCATAATCATTGCAGCTAAAGCTCCAATGACTGTG